CAGGCACATGTAGAAGATCCCTTTGCTTTTTTTTATTAAAAACTACACCTGTTTGTTAGAACCAGAGCTGTTTTTTCAGATACTAGTTTTTGCTGATAATTTAAAACAAAGCAAAAACAAACCCACAAAAAACCTTTTTCATTTTAGATATGATAGTATATTTGTACTTTTCCCAGTTAATAATTATAATTTGCTTTTTGGAGGAAAAATATTTTTCTTTTTTGGTATATTTTTTTATTTTTTAAGAGGGAAGCAGTTGCATTATTGAAGTTGTCCAGTCCTTCTCACTGGAAGATCAGTTTGCCTGACTAATTTCTGAAGTTGAGGAATTTTTATGTCTTGGAGTCAGGCAAGGGAGGGTAAGCTAGGAACAGACTTCCTTAGTCTTACTTGACTTGACATTGGCTTTGTGATCCAGGCTGTTCTTCCAGTGCAGTGTGGTAAGTTATAGGCTTACAGTGTGTGCTGTTAATTACTCAGCACAGGAAACAGTACAACTGCTTAGTGGCTGAAGACCAAAATACAGTTCTCAAATGTTACAGATTTAATTAGTTTCTTATACAGGATATCATGCGTTCTCTTCCTACTATTATTTGTTTGTTGCTTGTTTGTTTGTTTTCCTGTCACACGCAGAAGAATTAAATTACTATTTTAGATCTATACTAAGTGTGCGTACAAATTCCTGTCATGGGACTGCATAGCAGTTGATAGTATATAAATTTTGTGTGTCAGTCAGCTTGATATCACAAGTGTCTTTGAAATACCTTCTTTAGCTCTTTGGAAGACAGTTAGCCTAAAGTCCAGCTGCTTAGTTGCATGTTGAAGATCCCCGTTGCTTTAACTGTATAGATACTGTGATTGATTTCCTATTTTTTCAGGCCTTCACAACACTGTGTTTGCCTGCTCATGCAACATGGCAGAGACTGGTCTGTTCCCTTGCTGTCTGTAAATACTTGTTAAACCTCCTGGCAAGCCCGAAGTATCATCCTGTGCAGTGATGGTTCTCAAGAGGTACCCTGTTGATACAATAACTGTCAGTGCCTCTACTTACTTATGTGAAAGAAATCTGTTCTGAGAAGATAAAAAGCTCTGACTGTAGTCTAGTAACATCTGATGAAACTTGACTTTTCCTTTTTTTGACAACCCTATGGATCATTAACACAGACAAGTGAAATTTAAATACTTAAACTGTAAGGACTGAGATGAATTGAGAGATTCCAGAGATCATGCTTCATAATCTTCAAAGTTCTTAATTAACAGTAACTTGAACTGCTCTAGATTTGTTTACCAGTAGTTGAGATGCAAGTCTTAACTAGAACTTGAAAATGTATTTGTAGAAATGAAGGTAAGATGGACTATCATCAGGAGTGATTGAAAGAAAACAGCAAGAGAAAAGGAGACATGAAAAGCTCCAGGGACCTGGAACACAATGGCAGTATCATGAAAAGGAGTTAAAGATAGTCTTGATAAATGTATGTAGGCAGCTGGAGTCCAGGAAAAAGAATAGCAATATCTCCTCTTAGCTAATGTTGTGATTAATCATAAATTCTTTTGTCCTGGTGAAGAAGCAGATGGTGAAAGCATGTGGTTTGAGGGCTACTTTGTGGCCACGAAAGGTGGAATTTTGAGAGATGCAGTTTTTGTGACAGAATCTTCGGACAGGCTGTAAGTTTGTCCCAATTGCAATGGGTGCTTGAGAAGGAGTAGAGATTGATGATTGTATTTGTGGAGGTGTGATGTCTCGTTCTGTCTGCCTGCAGAATTGACTCATAGCAGCCTGAAAATAGAGGAAAATGCAGCTAGGGTAAATGGACTTGCAAGTAGGAAAGTAGCAACAAGTACAGAAATGCTTGGAAAAGACTGCAGAACTGCCTGGAAGATTTTTTTGTGGAGAGTGTGGGAGGTAAAGATAAAATGTGGAAAATGCAGTTGGCCTATAGGACATAGAGTGTTTGGAGGAAAACACTTCAACAGCTGCCAGCCGTACAACCCTTTTCAAGACAGCAAAGCTGAGATCAGAAAGTGACAGGAGGCTACAGCACTGGAGGTTGCTGGTCTCCAGCAAGGAGCTCTACAGTGATGCTTTCTCTGCAACTAGGTAGTGAGTAGTCATGTGGAAGAGACACAGAGAGACTATTAGCAAAAGGGTGAACTGGATGCTGCTACTACATATTGTATTTAAAAAGGAAGAAACCTACAATTTCCCACTGTGCCTAGTTAGTGTATATGAAGTTATTCTTGAGGTTGTGTGCATAATTTGTGCGTTACTTTTTTTCCACGAAATCATGAGCAACCTGGTCTAGCGGAAGGTGTCCCTCCCCATGCAGGGGGGTTGAAACTAGATGATCTTTGAGGTCCCTTTCAACACAAACCATTCTGAAGATGATGCCAGGGAAACTGTACCTCAAATCCTTCCCGGTAGCCCACAGCTTCTGATTTTGGGAAAGTGAATTGATGCATAAAGCGTTGAGTATAAAGATGCAACAGTTTCTAGGGGATGGTTATCCTGAAAAATTTGAAAGATAACGCACTCGGTTTATGTATTTCAGCTTATGTAAGCGTGTTGTAGTTACTGTGAGTAACAGAGCTAATGTTTTGATGTAAAAACATGGCTTATCCTGAATATTTGAAAGATTCCTGCATTTACCAAAAACTTACAAGGGAAGTCTAGTAATTAGCAGTGCTGCCAACAGGTGAATTTGGAAAGAGTATAAAAACATGGGGGAGTTTGTCTCCACCTATTCTTTTGACAAAGGAAAGAGGCCAAGAATGAAGAATTTCAGAAATCAGTTTTCTTGGAATAAAAGTTGTGAGACCATGAACCTTATTGCTGTGAAGCTCATTGTTCCCTATGTCAATAGTATCTGTCCTCTGATGAATGAGAATAGAAGATTTTTTTTTTTTTTCAAACAAATATGGGTATTACCTTTGTGCTTAGTTTTTTTTTTTTTATTTAAATATGTTGGCTTGTGGATAATAAACTCAGTGTGTATGCTGGCATATACTAGAAAGAAAAACATTCTTATGGTGAATTGTTCTTTATATATCCTAACGTAGCTTTACTGAAAAGCTTTCAATCAAAATGTGATAGCATTGCTAGATCTGAGTTTGAAGAATCCCAGGTATTTTAAGTTTGTCCCAGATGATTTCAAATGGACGATGTGTTGAAAAATGGGATTTAATGGTAACTGTACAGAAGCTACTTTGATTTCATAGTCGTCTTCCCTCTTAGCTTGTAGACTGTTCCTAGCAAAGCCTTTTTTCCTCAAAATGCAGAGCTAGACCTTCTATTTTAGTCTTTCTGAAGGTAAGTGACTAAAATAAATATGAAAATAATTGTTTGGCTCCTTCAAAGACAACAAGGCCTCAGAAACTTGGAAATTCAGTTTACACCTTTTGATAGAACATGCTTTCATAGGTGGTACTAAGTTTGAAGAACAGAATTCTATGAGAAATAAAAAGCAACTGAAGTTATACCTTCTGAGAAAGGATACGTGAAGGCAAAGCCCTAATACCCCACTGGAAACTAGAGATATTTAACAACAACACAATACCAGCAATGGGGATAGAGGCTGAAGAGATTTTTTTGAGATTTTTGTTGAATTTGCTTAGGGAGCTTGGTATTGTGTTATACTGTTCTAACTCATATGTTTTCTAACGTTTTAACATCAGTTGTTTCTTAATGGCATCATAAAATATCTGTTTTCAAGAGAAGAGAGGTAAAAATAACGATTAGGACAAAATGTCTTGGACACACAAGCATTTTTGAGTATATAGACCCACTGTTACTTGTAGTTACAGTAAACCTTTATTGTTATGTTCTGTTTAATATAACAGGCACAACACAAATCTCAGGCGAACAAGATGCATTTTCCAATAATGCTGTTTTCTCTACTGTGAAATATGCTTTCTTAATGAGCAGGCTATTCAGTTCATTTTGTGAACTCTCGACATGTTTACTGCTGTTTGAATACTGCTCTGGGGACACTTGGCATTTATTAGCATTGTCACGGGCATTTCTCATAAAGCACATCAGGAATACAGTACAAAAAGCTCAAAGCGTGGATGAGAACAAATACTAAGTACCTCTGCAGATCAGACCAGCGCTGCACATGAACAAGCTGTTGTACTTCCAACTAAAGTGATCCAGGGTGGTTTTGCTCTTCCTACTGTGCCAGTGCCCACTGGCATTCTGCACAGCTCAAACGCTTAGGTTGACCGCATGGTCACCCCGTTGGTAAAGTTGGTGAGTTTTAGTCGCTTGCAGCAGTTTAAGTTGAATCATCAGAGAACGCAGTTTCATGTTGTATCTAATCTAGCCTATTTGCATTCACCTCGTACCAGCACTGTCAGTACTGTGATCCTGCAATTAAATACTTTAGGAGACTTCAATTTTTATTTTTTGTTTGATGTTGAGGTTTGTTGTCTATTAGATTAGTCCATAAACAGGCTTCCTGTGAGGTTGAACAGACACGGGTTGCAGAGGGAGTGCAGAAATATACTTGGAGAGGAAGGTAAAGCTGCCTCAGAAGCTATCCTTCAAGTGGCTCAGCTGTGTTGTAAAAACCATGGCTGTGTTATCACTTAACACTTTAGACCCATCTAATTTGGCTTTGCTTCAGAAAGATCTGATCTCCTCCATTCCACACGGTTAGTTCCTGCCCCTCCTTTTGTGTCATTGCATATTTTGACTGGCATCAGGGCTAAACTAGCGTTTGCTGAGGGGAAAGCCTAGCTGTGTTAGGATAGTTCCCACCTGAGACATCAAATATCTAACCTTATATATGTTGGAAGAGCATCAATCAATCTTCTTCATGTGTACCCAAATTTTCTATATGGGTTTGTTCTTTTAAAATGTTAATTTAAATTAATTCATTCATGGGTTGTGAGGCATGGCACAGAAATCAGTGAAGACTTCCCAAACATTTGGTATATTTTGTCAAAAGTACTAACCGTCATGGTGTATTCTTTTTGAATAAATATTTTGTATTTATTTGTAGGTTTTCACTGCTGCTGCTTAACCTGGAAGAATATTACTTTGAACAGCACACAGCCAATCATATTATAAATAAAGGTTGCAGAGATGAAAGGTACAAAACTCTTATATTCATTTACTGGAGTCGTTTTGGTCTCGTGTATCCCTAACACATACACAACTACTTTTATTTTCAATTGTTTTAGAAAATTCAGAGGTTCTCTGAAAATCTGTTCAAAGTCAATCATTTTTGAACCTGATGACAATATCCAACCCATTATCAAGGTAGGCAGTGCAAACTTACTATTTCTTGGTAAGTTAAGATTCTCTTTAAAAAGCTTTTCAGAAGGAATATATATCTTTATAACTTGCTACAGATACCACTGAGAGACTGCAGTAGTATAAAAGCCCCAGAAGATAATGAAGCAAATAACCCTTTCACACGGTATGTGAATTTGAGTTCCTTTATATATGCATTTAACTCCACTTAAAGCTGAAATGCCCATCTCTTCAAATATCTTATTTACATTTTAGGGATACATCTGGAGGGATTTCTGTTGTATGTAACCAGGTAAGACCTGCATATAACAGGTTCTTGATGTATGAATGAGTGAGGTTACATTCTTTAATGGTGTCTTTCTTGAAGCTGGAGTCTTAGGGTAGGGGATTAACTGGAAACAAAACTAATTAGTATCAAAACCCTAGCATTAATGTGAGGCTGGAAATTTCAAACTGTTAATGACTTAAGTCATTAATTTGATAAAGTGAACTTTTTGCACTGTGCATTTTATAATGGAGCTTAGGACAATTTTAGAGTTGAATGAAAAAAGGAGAATGGACTGAAATTAAACTGGTTATTAATCATCTTTGATTTGGTCTTGCTATATTGTGTTCTCCTACTTTCTGCAGTGTGTAGTGGTAATGGCAAAGCCATCTTGATCCTTACAGTTCAGCTTTGTGAAAATATTGGACTGTGCTGTATGTCCACCAAATAGTTTTCAGTAGCTGTGATGAAATATCGGGTTCAAGTTTCAATCATGAGTTGTGATTAACTTGGATATGTTCATACTTAATGTTAACCAAGAGAATATACTTCAAGCTTTGATGAGTTTCACCTGATAGGTGTTCCACAGCTGTAAAAAGTTTCCAAAAAATGTCCATATTTTAATTTCAGGAGAGAACAGAGTTGAAGTGGGAAATATTCTTTTAAACATTCTAGCATCTTTGTAAAATCTGTCTTTAGCACTTCTGATTTACCGAAATTGATAGCCTTGCTCAGTTAATTACTGGTGCAGTCAAAACCAAACTCAAACATTTAATATTATATATGCTGGAGAAGTTTGTGGACTGTGTTAAAGAAATAAGTATATTTAATTTCACCTTTAAACTGCTTCTATGAAGAGTATTGTGCTGTCAAGGTTTCTTGTGTTGGCAGTTTTCTCGTGTATTGAGTGTTTTCAAAAAAAGGTATTTCTAATTGTTCCCTGCAGTTGTTCCACTATACAACATTAAGGTATGTTCTGAAGAACAGATGATTATTAAAACATGTCATAGGAAAGGAGAATTAACTTTTAAAACAGCAAGTGTGGTTGGAACCCCCTATTCCCTGCCCTTCCCATGTGCAGCTTGCCAGTCATCCTCCTGTGTCTGGGGAAATGTTCTGAAATAGTTGGGTACCATGATAAATGCTGGTATTTTGTGTAAAAGGCATAGGGACTTTTGAGTGTGAAGTACTTGCTAGTTGTACTTATGACAAATCATGAGCTAATGATAAATATTTTCTTCTAAGTAGAATTTCTATCATGTAGGAAACCGCAGGTAGCAAATAATTGGAACATCTTAAACATCTTTTGCCTTTTCAGGCTCAAAAAAAACTATTAATGCATAGCTGGATAAAACGATTTGCTTTACATAACAGTCAACTTAGAAACTAATGGCTACAAGATATAGCAAATGGAAATAATAATTGTAGATTATTTCAGTAGTGTTTTTCTCAAGATAAAATTGAGAAAAAATTCTCCAGAATAGGAAATGAATACAGTATGCTGAACTTTTCCTCTGCTTACATTTTTTTTTTTTTTTACTTGTATTGTCTACTTTTTTATGTAATTTGGGGCTCTCAGTGTACAAAAATGTTTAATTATCCTGCAGAAGAGTGATCTGAGTGTAAAACAGGTGTCTGATTCTTATTCTTTTATGGCCTGATTCAGGTCTGTACATGCTGATGTCAGATGAAGGGCACTAATTGCTATTATTTTTTAATGCAGCCCTTAGAGAGGCACGCCGAGCTTGTAAGCTTCTAAGCATACTACTCACTTTCTTCTGGCTGGCTGGTGCTCTGAGTGGTCCTGTGGTGAAGGTTGACTGTTGTCAGCCGGCGGGGGGGAAGTGGGAAAGGCTGTGTGTGCCAGCCAGAAGGCTTCTGGCTAGACAATGGTACTGCATCTGTTCTTGTAAATTTAATATTTGCTCTTGGTTTGAGGCTGCTGCCACAACGCCTTGTGGTGTGGAACCAGAGGCATGGTGCTACCTGCAGGAAGCAAACTGAGACGCCAGAAAAGGCCCTTTGATTGACCAAGTCTCTTGGGCCATGAAATAGAAGACAGCTGGTAGTGCAGTCCAGTGTTTTGTGCAGTTCCTAACCAATACTGAGTCTTGTGCTCAGGCCTGAGATTCAGCAAGTTTGAGCCTTCCCTACAAACAGAGCAAAAGCATGGCTTATTTCTGGCTTGTCTTCTTTCAGACAGCAGATATTAAAGTGATATCTGCAAACCAATGTGCTAGCAGTCAAGTCTTTCTATAGGAGTTGAGAATGCTCTGAAGAAGGAGGGTAGTTTCATGTGGGTTTTAGGGAGGGAAGATGCTCTCAGATGTGAGAATAGCACCAGAGAAACCAATCTGTTCAAAAACATCCTGTTGGATAAGAGAGGACATCTGGTATTCGTGGTGGTTGGAACTGGAAGTGAAATGTTTGGCAGTGGAAGAAGGGGTTCATTTGAGAAGGTTTACACAGTACTTCGTTGTGAGTTGCCACTGTGTAGCAATTCCCATCAGGACAGAACCCTAAGGGCAAGAGCCACCAGAAGAAAAGAGGGGGAGGATCCTTCCATTGACTAGGATTAGATTGATGGCTGTGCCTGTTGGCTTTAATGTTGCAGCTCCTTCAAGGTCATATGATTAGAATAAAAGCCCACTAATAAACTGCATAAGTAAGTAAGCCTCTCAACTAAATTGAACACTTGCCCCTCTTGCAGTTAGCTGCTCTGAAAGGTCATTGTTTTTCTGCAGTTTATCTGGGGTAGCCAAAGCAGGATATTGCAACCCAGTGCTTTGCTTGCTTAAGCAGCATTTTTAGCTTTGTATTTATCAGTGCTTCTGGTTTATTTTACTATTTTTTTTAAGGACTGATGCTGTAACATCTCTTGCTCTTTCAGGTTTTTCTCATTAAAGAAAGAAACATTATTGCACCCTATAAAACAGTAAGAGTAAGTATATATTTTTTCGCTACTCTTAGCAAACTAATGTTTTGCAAGGATTTATGTTCTCATTTCTGAAAGAGTAAGATAATTATCATTTGAGGAATATGATAGCTTTTTTCCTTTTTTTAAAAAAGTAATTGTGCATATTGATAAAACAAGTGTCTGAATTCTTCCATAATGGGCTTGGGTTATTTCTTGGAGGATTATACTGCAGACTTGACACTTGCTCTTTACCTTGATGTGTAACTATGTAGGCTCAACAGTCAGAGCTTTTAGCTGGCTACTAGTATTCAGTGGACACTGCATCCTGGCTAAATGACTTCTCAGTTCTGCTCACACCTCAGATAAGAGGTTTCTAATTGGTATTTTTCAGCTGAGTGCTTCACAGTGCAAAGAAATGGCAGATAAGGCTGCTCACAGCAGAAATCAGAACAAACTTCTGGTTGCTTTCTGCTGATGAGGTGGGTCTGCTCTGGTTCTGAGCCTGGAGGTGTCAAGGCATAGAAGTAGGGGGTTTTCACCTAGAATGTGGGATGGGTTAAGACACAAACACAAAATGAAAATGCAGTCATTAAACAACGTATTTGCTCAGGAACTGAAACAGACAGAATTATATTTCTCTACATATTTGTTCAAGTAATAAATTTAAGGAATGGAGTACAAAAAGACAATAAATTTGTCTTATTGTAATGAACAGCAAAGAGTCAAGAGATGATCTCTCTTCTCTCAACAACTGCTTTGGGTTGGTTTTGTGATTAGATCTGTATCTAAACTAGGATGATTTTTTTTTTTTTTTAATTTTCTTTGTTTGCTTTGTGCCATTAGTTCTTCATGTGTTGAATCTGTTTTCTAGTCCTTCTATTTTCTGTTTTGCCTCCATGTGCAAGATTTATTAAGTATCATACAAGTATTTTATATTGCCAACACAGTGAAAAAGAAAAGAATCGAAGGGGCTGTTTGGAAGGCTTGTCACTTTATTTTCTCTTAAGTCAAGATTTATTCATACCTAAAACGTTCCTGAGAGTTAACCATTACAATTTGCTTCACAAATACGCAGCTGTTTCTGCATATTAAAACAAGAAATCTAGTTTGCCTTCAATCATTTCAAATTTTTTATGTTGCTGCTAAGTACTTCTGCTTAAAACATTGCCAGTTCCAGATGTGTCCCAGAGTGCTGGAATTTGGCACTACACTTTATCTTCCATGTCTTGCATGGATTGTTTTGGATCAGTTACAAAATACTGAGGTATTGTCTTGGCATATGGCTGGAGAGCTACAGAGAGAACTGCTCACAAAAGCTTTCATATTGTTGGCTGTAAGAAAACCTTGTAGACCATCCCCTAGGATTTCTGAGAGCTGTGCTTTCCCTGTTGAAGGGAAACGGTGCTCTGGGTGAAATGTTACAAGGTTTTTATTTAAATTGCTACTGAGTTTCTCATCTCCCTTTACTCCAGCTCCATTTGCTTCCTGAAGCACTCTTTCCTCTTGGATTGCTGTCAGTTCAGCTCAGGTCACATGCATTACACCGAAGGCCATCTAGATTTCCATGTCTTCTTTCCTTCAGTTTTAAATTAATCCAGTCGTATCCACTGATCAGTGTCTTGATGTAGCCTTACTGATCAATTTTTTAAAGTCTATTGCAAGAAATTACAAAACCCTGCATAAATGTGTAGGTACAGTTTTATTCAGGTGTCATACTGACCCCACCACCTTTGCTAAATATGAGTTATGTGTAAGAGTATCAGCTGATCCATGAACATACTTTTAATACACTTAAGTCAAAACCAGAACTATGTACTATGCAACAATGCTTAAGAAAGCTGGGAAAAATTAGTAGGGGAAAAATGAGTGTGCCACATATGCTGGGTGATATGCTAGTGAGGTTTTTATGACTAGTCAAAACAGGTTGTGATTGGATCAGCTCAAAACTATTTATATAGAAGAGAATGATAACTTTTATAGCCTAATCTTTAAAGATTTGATGGGCCAGTATCTTTTTCTCCAAAAGAGATACAGAAGGTGTTTAAATGTCATTTACTAGTTCTATATTTACGTGTGTTTACTTGATATTAAAATAGACAGAGCAGGTACTAGTTCTGCATTTACTGCATATGTTTACACTATATTAATTTGTTCACTTCAAAGCTATTATGTTTCATTGTAGTAAATAACAGACTAAATGCTGCACAAAGAGATTACCACAGGGAAGATACATTTGTAGAGAAAAAAATAAAAAGCAGGTTTAACATCTGTCTTTGGAATGTTTATGCAACCTTTGATAGCATACATACTTTGACCAGGTTTTAGAATATTTTGATTTTAGGGTTGGTTTTTTTTTTTTTTTTTTTTTTTTTTTTTTTTTTTCACTGAGCTTTATTTTAGACTCATTTGTGGTAAATGTATTTCTGATTTTAGGGTAGAACAGAACACTTATTTCAACTAGATGTTGCTGGGAAACTAGGAGATGTTGTGCAAACTCTGCATCAGGTATGCGATTATTTAGTATCATTACACACTTCACAGCATCTTTTTTTGATATTTAATGGAGAGCTTTCTTTAAATATTTAATCTCAAGGTGAAGTATCTCTTTTTAAAATGTAACAGTTGAACACAGCATCTAGTTCTGACAGCTGTTGTAAGCTACCCATATTAGCTTTTACTATGCAGGGTGGTGGTATACAGACAAAGTAATAACATGACAGTGGCAATGAACAAATATGTCTGACTTTAAAAAGAAATAATAATCGCTCATTTAGTACTCTGTCACCAAGAATGCTAAAGCCCCCCCATTTTCTATTGACTTCTGAGCTGTGTGGGAGATCTCTGTGCTATTTCACGTAAAGCTCATTGTTCTTTAGCTTTACAGGGCTTCTTGTCTAGATAAGATGGGAGACCAAGCTGCCATGGTAAGTATCTGAGTATTTCTGATATCACTGTTTAATAATAAAACCTAATTGTGTTTGAATCATAGACCATATTAACTTGTTTTTCTCTCCACATTAGATAACTGCTATATTGCAGTCACGCTTGGCTAGAACTTCATTTGATAAAAACAGGTATCTTTCTAATCACTTTCTACTGGGAAATTATTTTCAGCTTGTTGGCTGATTAGTCTCATGCATCAGTACTTAACAGGTGCTCGTTTGGGGCAGCATAAGTTCTCTGATTCAGAGAGTTACCTTCTTTGTATTCTGAACCATTTGGAATGGACAGTGGGAAATTCTGTGTTGTGAAGATGAACGTGTTACATTTTTATCTCTCCAAACTGTTATGTTTATCTGTGAATCTGTTGCAAATTAGGCATCATTATAGATGCCAAACAAAGCTCTGTATAGCAAAGTCTGCTGGTTTACTGCTCTGAGACTGGTGCAGAGCACAGCAAGTTTCCCTTCTGGAGGGCCTGTTAAAGTAGAGGTCTCAACAAAGAGCTTTCTTCATATCTAAAATAGGCTTAGTGAAGTCCCCATTCTGATGTCCCAAGATTATAAACTAACCTAAAACCTTTCTAAAGAATTTAAGGGTAGCTCTACCTAAGTAAGAACTGGAGGTAAACTTACTCCTTTTCTTCACTTGTAGATTTCAAAGCATTTCTGAAACGCTGCATATGGAATGTAAAGCAGAAATGGTGACACCTCTGGTGACTAATCCAGGGCATGTGTGTGTTACTGATGCTAACTTGTACTTCCAGCCTCTTAATGGATATCCTGTAAGTGCCTCATAGATGGTCTTGCATATGATGTGAGCACACTGCTCCTCTAGTGGACAGTTTTCATTTTCTATATTATTCCTCTTTAATGCACACGGAGCATATCTCCAAGAAGACTCTATTTTCTGTCATAATCAGAAGCTTCTTGGTTTTCTTGTGATCTGTGCTGCTTTGTTGCATTCAGTGTCTCTCTACTTCTGAGGCTTTATTCTGTGCTAACTTGCTTAAAATTGACCCCCCTACTAAGCACAAAATATCCTTTGCTCATTCTCTATTAATATCTAAAGATCACTTTTTGTAACATTTCATTTAAGATACATTTCTTAATCTTCCTCTGTGATGCTGTTCCTACCTAGTGAGAGCTTTATATGTGTTTAGTTGATATTGGAATATCTTAGCTAGGTTTTTTATTGAACTGATCATTTCTTTCTCTCGAGAAAAACTGAGTGTATGTTGCAGACAGATTAATGCTTTGGAACTTTATAACAGAAATAGCAGCAATAGTTTTAGCAGGCCACTAATATGCTGAAAGTATGTCCAGACAAGGAAAATGGATTTTCCCAGCTGATGACAAAATGCCATTCAGTTTCCCTCCACCAGGTGGTACCATTGGCAAACAGTTTGCCCAGCAGCCCAAAGGCTTCCTTATTTTTTATATAGTCTTCTTGTGTTCTGCTCCTCTCTTGCATGATTGTTATAACTGGCGACAGACTCGGGTGCTAGTACACTATTCTTTATTCTTAAACTGCTTTGCTACTCAGACAAGAACCAACAACAAAGACAAGCTGCTTCTTTTTTCACGTAACTTCCTAGCACCACTGCTACACTGCTAAAATGACATGGACGGATATCATTTTCACATTGCTAGTATCACTAGTCAAGCAAAGCTACAAATTGACTGGAGAGTTTAATGTAGAAGAGTAATATCTTCTAGAATATCTCCATCTTTTCTTCCCCCTCCCTCACCCTCCACAGAAACCGGTAGTACAAATAACACTGCAAAATGTGCGTCGCATCTATAAAAGAAGACATGGGCTAATGCCACTGGTAAGCTCAAATTTTATTTTATTTTTTCAATGTCTTGCTTCATATATTGTTTCTTAAAATGACCAGCTGAAGCTGTGTTTATCATTAGGTAAAAGCTACACGATTTTAGAAAACGCTGGATTAAGTAGTGGACAGTACTTCCAAGATCCTTTCTGGTTTTTAAGTGGTTTAGCTCCCTGTGTTGTCAAAAAGATGAAAATGGGAAGAGTGAACTCTGTCAAGGTTGAAAAATTTCTTTCATAAGCACTCAGTGTAGGCGAAGGGATAAATGAGTACCTCCAGGGAGCAATTCATTCCATTTATCTCCTAACACTGATCTTGGGGTAGAATGAATTGCTCTCTCATGGTATATTTTCTCTCTGGATTGATTCATGGAGGGAGCTTGATCACTGGTTCAGATTGAGACTAATGTAGAGTGATGAGTCCCGCTGTATATGGCTGAGGGATGATGAGAGTGCTGCAGTAGAACCTCAGCTATATGCTTTCAGTGTTTGCACTGAAGTTTCAGTCTTGAACAAAATTTTTGTCTCAAAATACATTTAAACTAAACAGACATTTAAGTCTTTGCCTCACTCCATTCACTTAGGACAAAAAAGTGTATTACCTCTGCTTAATCAATCCAGACAGAGCCCCTCTGGACAGCTATAAAGCTATTTGCTCAGTTGGGTGTAAACAGAATGCTTTTATGATTGGAAATAGGAAAGATCAAAATGTTAGCCTTTGTGGGCAAAACTGCTACACAGCTTAGAGTCTCAAGTTTTAGATATTAGTAACCGGAATGTTCTGTTAAAAAAGCATGAATATTACAGCTCGTCAGTAATTGCTCTCATTTACTTTCTCTTCTTGCTTTAACTTCTAAGGGACTTGAAGTATTTTGCACAGAAAATGATCTGTGTTCTGACATCTACTTGAAATTCTACAACTATCAAGATCGAGATGAGCTCTATTTCCTTATTGCGACATATATAGGTTTGCAGTATTTATTTATTAATGTAGTCCATAATAACTTGTGAGGGGAAATTTGTCTGGGTTTTGCTCTGTTGGTTTGTGGGAAGAATGAGAAGGGTAGACAGATGTATTAGCCCTAAAAATTTTTGATAGAAGTAAGAAAAGTTCTGAATGGATGTTGCAAAGTTGCATATATTCTGTTTCTGTTTGGAGAGCTGAATTTGAAAGCTGAGATACAATTATTAAGGTGAAAGTAATTATTTTTATTTGCAACTTGAAATCTTGATATGGTCTGTCATTTAACTCCCCCCCTCCCTCCAAAAAAAAAAACCCACAAAGAAACAAACAAACAAACAAAAAAAAACCAACAACAACAAAAAAACCCAAAACAAATCAAAACAAAACAAACAAAACCCACAAAACACTTTGTCCTCAAAGAAGGGGATAAATAAGATCCGCTCATCTAAATTGTGTTTTGCTGAAAGAATATAGACTGACTTGAGTGGATCCCCCTGGCCCCCACTCAAGTAAAAATCCTATTGAGAAAATTCCTGTAATGGATGGATGTCCAGTGCACACACAAATACTCAAACTTTCCTCAGTCTTAATAGTGGTTGATAAAAATTACCATTTTGACACAGTTACGTTCTCATTTCTGTTAAATCTTGTATGCATTAATTCCTATAAAATTATACATATCTTTTGCAGATCATGAACGGAAACTTTCTAAAAGGCTAGAGTGTGTGCTGGAAAAATGAGGGGGGAAAACTAGTAGTTTTTCTGTAATGCTACTTACAACTAAAACATTGAAACTCATGTTTACTGCCAATATTGAAAGTGTTTATGTAAATTTTGTACTATCTTATTGTTGTACCAGAACTCTAGTTCTATTTTCATTAATTTGCCTAAATATCAGTTGCCATTTTCCCCACGTCACAAAGCAAAGTGGAAAGTCCACAAAGGAACGATCACTTCTCCTGAGAATCATTTCAGTCTTTTAGATTTTCTTTTTAGAAAAAGGAAGTAGATTCTGACACGATTTTCTCTGTTATTGAAATAACTGCATGCTGTTACCCTGCTTCAGACTTTGTTTTCTGGTTAGCTTAAAAGATGAAATTTCAAGGTGCAGATGATGATGATGCTATTGTTGGAGCTTAGAAATAAAAAAAGGGTGAGCCCTTTCTCTGGAGGTGTTTACAGCACCTCTGTAGCTTTCTCTGACAGCAGAAGATTCTCTTTTTGAAGGTGCTAACACTTTTCACTTGTAGAATTTAAAGTATTAAAGGTGAGGGGGGGTTTGAATATGTTTTAACGGCCTATGCTGAACTAAAATAGAGGCCTGCCATATCCTAATTGGAATTCCTTTCCTTCTAGTTAATAACTGTAGTGATAATATTTGAATAATTTGATGTTCCATGGAAATACTAATTCTTTAGCTTTGTGTTGTAGCCTTCAGCAGCAGATGGTGGTAAAAGATATTTAAAGACTTTTAAGTAGGAGGCAGAGCAGCCTTACTACATGGATGCAGTAAAGCAAGCATGCAGAAGTGTGCCATGTAATGCTTTGTGTGGCAAGGATGTGGTTTCACTGTGATTACTTGATGTTTGGATGGTTTCTTACCGTCATGCCATAGTTGCAGTTCTTCAGTTCTGCTAGTTCAGGCACTTGCCAAGGTGTGGTAAACTAGAGGAACAATTAAAATAAAAAACTCAAAAAAGCCCCTGTGCAAAACTACACCACCCCCTCCTCTCCTCCCCCCACCACCATCTCTCTTGCTAAACCTGCCACACACAGAACAGACTAAGATAACAAAGAAACCTCTTTAATTCATTTTAAGGTGGAGGGACAAAATGAAATCAATATTCCCAGGTCATTTTGCTGTCCAGCAGCATACCTGTATAGCTGTTGAGTAGAAAGTAGTGCAATTTTTAATTTCTTGAGCCACTGTCTAATGCTTCAGACAGAAGCTCCAGGTGCATAATTCCTACTTTCTTGAGTGGTGGTCAAGTTTTATCTTCTAGTCTCTCAGTTTCAGTGGTTCTGAAACTGAATCCTATTTACATACATACGACTTCTTTCCACAAGTCGTTGTTAGTGGGCATACTTAGTTGTGCAGTAGGAAAATATATTCAACTTTTTTCTTTACTCTAGCAGAACAACTTCTAGAAATTTGAAGTCTTAAAAGTTGCCTAATTGCCAAGAGTCGTTCATGGTCTGCAAATATTTGTCTATACCTCCATAAATGATTCGGGGCTTTCCCATTCCTTGTTTCTATGTTTGGTTTCAGCATTCCTTCTGTGTGTTTTTCTTTTTGTTGTTGTTGAATTAAATATAGGCCTGCTTGAACAGATCTTGAAAAAAATGTATAAAGTATGATAGCTCTTGAAACGTGAAGTTACCACTTAATTCTGACTTGTTCTTTTAAACAACTATGCCCTCGGTTAGTTTATAGTACATTGCATAATGTTAATCACAGTATAATTTGGGGGTGGAACTCCAAACATCAAAACTCTTTTTCTTTTATTTTAGAAAATCATATTACAGAGCATACAGCTGAAAGTTATATGTTGCAATGGCAGCGAGGACATATATCAAATTACCAATATCTTCTTCATCTCAACAATCTGGCTGATAGAAGCTGCAACGATCTCTCCCAGTATCCTGTATTTCCCTGGATCATAGCAGACTACTCTAGTTCAGTGTTAGGTATGTGTATACAAAAAGGCATGTTAGTGCATCGTGCCCAACGCAAAATGTCTCGGGGGTTTTACACCACATGAAGTTCATGTTGCATCAGAATGAACCTGGCATTAGTCATCTTCAGTGGTTTCTTGTGCACTTAACCCTCCTCAGTGTAGTGGACAAAATAACCTACCTTTTTCTGTTAAATATTTCATTCTTTACACACATCTGCTTGGTTGCCTTGAAAATCAGCAGTACTGAGCGTTCAGAAACTCTGTGATATTAATAAATGCAAAAGAACCTGTAAAATGATTTTTTTATTGAACAAGTTGGATGCATTGAAATGTATAGAATCCAGGTGGTTTTTTACAATTCTTAGCATTGCAAGCTGAAAGGAAGAGGCTAACTAGGGTTGTGCCTAAATAGGCTCCTTGATTAAGGGTCTAAGTGCAGTCTGTGTTGGAAGTTTTGTCTTTTTGAGGGCCCTGTCCCTCTACAAGGGATAGAGTAGGGGAATCTCATACGAGTAACTACTAGTTCAAGTACATGTAACTACTAGCTCTTAAGTAAGAGGTATGATATTACATCTACCTAGAAGGAAGATTGAGTAAGCCTTTATTTTTTTGCAGTTAGGAAGCAGTGAAAATTACTGGAGGGCTTCTGTGTTGTTTTTTTTTGCTTGTTTTGTTGATGTTTGGAGGGTTGTTGTTTTTAAATATTGATTGGGCAACATTCTTGTCTAGTAGAATTCACAAAGTTTAACTACGGTTTTTTTGGTTGGTTTTTTTTTTTTTTTTTTTTTTTTTTTTTTTTTTAGATCTGACAAAACCTGAAACATTCCGTGACCTTAGTAAACCAATTGGTGCCCTGAATAAGGAAAGGCTGGATAGACTATTGGTATGTAAATCTTGGCTTTTATGTGTGGCACGTTTTGGGCCTTGTACATACTGGCAATAAAAGAAGCTTTGTCAAGCACGCTTTGGGATTTATGTGGATATCTAAAACTAACTATAAACCTTATCAGCAGCAAACTTACCTGTAAATACACCACATTAATTTTCAGCTTGATTTCATCAGTACTAATTTAAAATTATTTTAATCTGTTTCTTCTCTCTTACTATAGTTCCATCTATATATACTTTTATATTTTTTACATCACTTTTAAAGTAAAATCCCCAAATCCATTTCAATATTGTAACTGCATTTGTGTGGCAGGCACTGAGATGCTATAAACATACATGGAAGTATAAAACCTCAAGACCAATGGATTTAAATGTGTAATGTAAAATATATGTATGAATTAAACAAAGGTAGTAGAAATCTTAAGTACTTGCATTTAAGAAAAATGCTGAGTTTGAGGGAGAGTACTTCAAAGGGAGGAAATCTGAATCCATGGCGATCAGAGCACCAACTTCTAAATTACCACATGCAGATAATAGTGTGCAAACTTTTTGCATTTTACAAAATAGGCAGGCTTTCTTTCCATAAGCAGCTAAACACATAGATACAGGCTTAGAAGGTCCTCAGCTTCTTGCTGTTTAATTCTTTGTATAAAACTATTGTCTCTTATGGTAAGTTAATTACTCCAAAGTAATTTACAGAACAGAACTATATTTAATCTTTTAGAGCCTTTATTAGTTCTTAATGAAGCATTAGAAAGAGAAAAAATATTGCTAAACTAACTGCATTATTTTGACAGAAAAGATTAAATATTTCAAAATCATAAACCTTCCTAAGGTTGTGGAAGGTAAGAACTTGATCAATATTATGCTTTCAATTACAGCAAAAAAGTTTTCTTTCAAAGGTCTGACTGTTTCCTCAAACTGTCAGCTGCTTCATGCTTACTACAGTAAGTTATTTTATTTAGATTATGATAGATTTCAGGGATAACGCATAGGAGCTTCAGACAGGAAGGAATCTTCCAGGTTGAATTAAGTCAGTATGTTCTTCCATACTCTCATTAAACTTCATGTGAAAGACAAAAAGGAAATACTTGTTTGTAGTCCTCTGAAGTTGAGTCATTATGTGTGAAAGTGAGAGAGGAAAAAAATCTGAAAACCTGATAATTCTGGATGATAAGTTACAACAAATTTTTTGCCTTATTGATCTACTGATCTGATTAAAGCCGCATGGTTATTAGAACTTAGAGTTTGTTTTATCATTAGGAAAAAAAAAAAAAAAAAAAGGTTTTCCTGATACATGTCTTTAAAAAAAAAAAAACCAAACGTGTGTATGTGTTCAATATTGAAGGAAAGCAGGAGTGCTGATTTTAAACAGACATCTCTCTCTTCTTCATATGTTGCAGACACGTTATCAGGAAATGCCAGAGCCCAAGTTCATGTATGGGAGCCACTATTCATCTCCGGGTTATGTTTTGTTTTATCTCGTTAGAGTTGGTAAGACAGTTTTTACACGCCCCCTGAGCAGACAGTTACCTCCAAAGTGGACAAGGCTTGGAGTGAGCTGATGATTTTTTTCTTTTTCCTTAGCACCAGAATACATGCTCTGTCTGCAGAATGGAAAGTTTGATCATGCTGACAGAATGTTCAACAGGTTTGTTTACATTTTGTCTACAGCTAGGTTGGGTTTGTTTTCAAATATGCATCAAGGGAGTGCACAGCCTTAAAAAAAATTTTTTTTTTTAACAAATCTGTGATTGATATGTGTTATCACGTGTTATCTAGTCTTGCAGAAACGTGGAAAAACTGTTTGGATGGTGCAACAGATTTCAAAGAGGTAAGTGGCTGGGGAACGATTCAAGTCCTTGTTGGTGTCTGTGCTAAGCTCTCTGTTCTTACATGTCTCCTGTTGATTTGGAAGTTTTGGGGTGGGAGTGGGGTGTGTTTGATTGATCTATTGTTATGTTGTTTGTGGGGTTTAGTTGTGTGTGTGTTTTAAAGACTGCATTTTATGAATCCTTCAGTGTTTTTAGATTCTTTTTCTGTAATTCCATGATTGCTTGTCTGTGTGCTTTCTGGCTTTTATTTTAACAGAAGTGTCATTGTGGATATGTTATTGAAATAAGTGGGAATAATTAGAGTGGATTAAGGCTGAAAAGATGCAATTTTATGTATCGTCTGTTAGAATCTCATAAGAATTTGGCTGTATTACAACAGTACAGCTGGAGAGATTAAATTATAGAAGTTTTATCTTTGTTTTTTGAGCTTTATAGGAACCATAACTTGTAGACTATGTTGAGAATCATTAACTGTCAAATAGAGGGTGCTGTTAAATAATGTTTCTTTGATAAAGGATTTTAATATAATGATATTTTTTTTTAAAAAAAAAGTAATGGAATTAAGGTTGGTTATCCATGGTGATCTTTAAATAATTGACTTAACTTCTGAAACGTTTGTCATTATTCTAGTTTCATTCTAGATTTTTGTCTTGACTCTTAACTGATGTCTTAAAAATGAGAAGGTACCTATCCAATTAGTGTTCTAAAGGTGCTCTTACTCATTATGGATTCTTATGTCACACCTTACATGTTAAACATATTTATGCCACTCTAATTGCCTCGTTAGGTAGTCAAGAAGCCTAAAAGTAGTGGGAAAGATAATGGGAGGAAGTTTCTGGTGCTTCTTTACTATCAGAGAAGAAAGCCTGGAAAAATTACTACTCAACTTCTGGGCTTTACAAATGAACTTTGATAAATTTAAGGTTTTGCTGATTGTAAGTGATTAAAGCTAAGCTAATCTCAAACCTTCCTTTTTTTTTTTTTTTCTTCCAGTTGATTCCAGAATTTTATGAAAATGATTCTAATTTTCTAGTAAACAGTTTGAAGTTGGACTTGGGAAAAAGGCAGGGTGGAAAGATGGTTGAAGATGTAGAGCTTCCCCCTTGGGCATCAGGTAATAATAGTCAAATTTCTTGTATTATGAATTAATTCAAGATTATCTAGATTCCTGGGATGGTGGTGGTGGTTCTTTCAAAAATGCCCATTCTATTTTTGCTGTAAAACATTGCTATAATTAATAGTTGTGATTAATTTTTACAGCAAATTGTAGGTTTGGTGTGTGGTGTTGGGGTTTTTTGTTTGGATACCAATACTGAGTGGAATATCTTCTCCTTTAATTGACCTTTCTCTTGCCAGGTCCTGATGACTTTCTTCAGAAGAGCCAAGAAGCTTTAGAAAGTCAGTATGTATCAGAACATCTTCATGAATGGATTGACATAATATTTGGCTACAAGCAGAAAGGAAGCGAAGCAGTTGCAGCTCACAATGGTAAATACACACTTTTTAGAAATAGCGGGGGGGAAAAATAAAAAGGATGCTTTAATTAGGCAGGAATGGTAAATAACAGCGTATCTGTAATGACTGATTATACAACTGTGCTTTTTTTTTTTCCCCTTATTTGTTGGAGGGGGCAGGTGTTTAATGAAGCTTAAATAAGTCATTCTTCCTTTATGAAGGACTGATTTCTTCTGAAACTTTCCATGAGTCTCTTAGAAATTCTAAACATTTTTCAAGCAAGAAACCCAGGATTAAAACACGATCTCAAACTCTGTAGCCTGCTGAAATAGCTTTGTTGCTTAAATATAGCCAAGTGGAGTGAAGAATACAACTTTTCTTATAGTAGGTATGCAAGAGAAGGAAAATGAGCCTTGTATATCTACATTGTACAAATAAACTTTTTCTTTTTTTCCCAGTGTTTCACCCATTAACCTATGAAGGAGGAGTGGATTTAAACAGGTAATTAACAAGAATCAGAAAGTTTTTGTTGAAGCAGTTAGCTAAATTTCTCAGTATCCCTCCAGGTTCTCATCAGGCTGTGAAAGTGTTTTGTAGATGAATGGTGTAGATCATCCATTTTATACTTCCAAATATGGAGAGAACCATCATCAGATTGTTATTTTTAGCAGGCATTGAAAGATTATTACTTGAACTTTTTTTTTTTAAGTCTGGCTTTCATGAAATTGCTTTATTTTTTTTTAATTGATGAGCATCCTGCCATCATACATAAACAAGAGAATGAAGGTGCTGTATGACTGTCGGTCACACCTGTGGTAAATCTGTTCTGTAAGAATTCATGGCGGCCAGCAGCGCTGTGGTAACCGCGCATGCAGGCCCGCGCTTTCGTGGGAGGGGAGGAAGAAAAAGCACTCACGTACTTGGCTTAATGAAAGATCTTGTTTTTGTAAAGTATTATGGACCCCAATGAAAAAGTAGCCCTGCTGACACAAATCTTGGAGTTTGGACAGACGCCAAAACAGTTGTTTACAATTCCTCATCCCCGAAGGATAATACCGAAGTCGAAAAGCTTGTCTCGAACGTCTAGTCACAGTGTTTCCGTAACTGAGTCTCCAGGTAAATGTGTAACAGATAAACTGACGACGTAACGGATTTGTAATTTTGAGAAGTTCTGTATCTTTCTCCCACAGGATCTCATTATACAACTATTTTGGCCACTTTCCCTGTAAGCCAACTCAGAATAAGTCTTCGAACTAACTGTTAAGGGAGAACTGTCAAGACCAGTTTCAAATTTGAACAGACAGGCATGGTCCTCCATTTTTTTCCCCTTCTGTTCCAGTGGTCTCTGGGACTGCTAACCTCTGCTTTTAAAGCTGTGGGAGGACTATCATCCCTGGCCTTTCCTGACACTTCAAAAATCAAGCTGGTATGACAGCAGCTTCAATGACCGTGTCTGCAGGCGTTCTAAATGATGTAAAGATTTGTTCAGTCTCGGAAGAGGGATGTCTTTGGGGTGATCGATTGGCTTGATCTAAGTAAACCCTAAGAACTTAAGCATCTGATGTTTGTTTTTTTTTTTTTTTTTTTATTTCCTTTTCCATGACTCGAATGAAAATCTGTAAAGAAATTACTTAGTTTTCCCTACATACTGTAGGGACAATGTTGATTGAATAACTATCTTCAAGAAAAGGATATGTGATGCCATCACAGGCTTCTGTTCAATGTGGAACTTGGACCATTTTTCTGAAACTAAGATACTATGGTCCTCATCGTATGTGTAGTGGTCTACCATAAATTGGACAGAATCTTAAGCCCAGGTATGACCTGGAAAGGTTTTTCTCAGTTGGTTGTCTAAAATTCACTTACCTTTGGATGGCTTTCATCTTTAAGCAGACAAGTGAAGATGAGTGCTACTTGGCATGGCAACCTGTAGCATCCAAATGGCAAGAGGGGCTTTGAAAGTTATATATGGTGATAATAATGTTCATATGTGTTAAACAGATATAGTGGTATGCTGCCGAAGCCATTAACTCACACATCAACAGTTCCTATTGGGTTTGGCCTTTTTACAGTAATTGACATCTAATTGTCTCAATTTTGTTGTGTTTTTTTTTATCCCTTAACTTCTGAAACACTGTACTGAAATGAAGCTGTGGCATTCCTAACAGAATGTAATAGACTAATAAAAATACATGCTGTATTGTAGCAGTAGATGGCTTTCCTGGTACTTTTCCATTTGGAAAGCTCTTGACATCTCAATGGAACACTAAAACATCTCTGAAGAAAATAGTTTGGTTTTGGTTTGATTTGGTTTTCCCATTTTGGAAATGTATTCTGTAAAGTCTCCAGTTTAAAAGCCCTGGTTTGGGGAGAAAAATTGTATTTTTGACTGTATGAGCTTATGCGTTCAGGAAGAGATGGGAAAAAAGTTAGTGATGTTGTCACTCTCTGCATTAGCCAAACTTTCCTATTCTTGGAGCTCTGCATGATTTCTGTACTCTCATATTTATGTTTGTCACTTCAGCTAACTAGCTATTTGAAATCTATCTTTTTCTTTTCTGTTTATAACGAAACTTTATTGTGGTATTTTTTTATTGCAGTTCCTCCAAATGAAGAATCATTTGAAGATTTGACAGAAGAAAGTATAACACTTGCTTGGAACAATATTGCCAAACTAAAATTAGATGAGCAATATAAAATTCACAAAGAGTAGGTACTATTCTTTTCTTTTCACAGTCAAAATTGTTCCATTTAATTGGGGAGGGGGGAGGTGTATCTGCATGTCAATCTGAAGGCAGGGTTAGGGTTTAAGGTAAACACTTTTCTTTGTGAGACAGCTCATTGATTATGCAAGGTGAATTTGAGTATATGGTGGGTTCAATCCAGCAAAGATATTTGTCAGCTGGAATTTTTTCGTTTGTTTGCTTCTTATACAGATCTAGGGCTAAGTTCATTATCCTTTTAGTACCTAAAGCAGATATTGATTACCCTTCTATAAAACTGTGATAGCAGCAACCGGATAGACTTCCATTTATTTATTTATAACCCCAGGAGGGCCTAACTTCTTTTTCATCCCACTTGATTTGAAAGGTTAAACCACTTATGTTCAACTACTGTAGACACTGAGCTGCTGCTGTATGAGCAGTTTTCCGAGCCTCCAGCTATGTGTTTTCAGTTAATCCAGGTACCAGACTACTATTCTGATGGTTTTCTAGGCAGCCATGAGTCAGCAAGGGCACTTCAGGTGAACTTTGAAAATACCTAACAGTGAACAACAGCAGCTTCTATTTCAAAGAACAGGTTTTCCATTGGCCTCATCCCTTGTCCTAGTGGCTGGACTAATAGGATGATTTCTTACTAGCTGGAGTGCAACTACTTTCTTGGTGACTGTAACCCAATCTAGAAAAGACATTCTCTTGTCCACTAATAAGGTAATATTTGCAGTGAGAAAGTGCCCCTGTTACCAGGTGGTTAGAGTTAGGGAGATCCTCATCCTGAAAACAGACTTGACTTTCAGCTTCTGATGCTTTATTTCTGAAGACTGCGGAGACAAAAATAGAAGCAGGTCTGTATAACTGAAGTTGGGCTGTGCAGAATGCTCTGTGCTTCCTAACAATGAACTCCCTAGCATAAGCCATATGTCTAAATTTCTAAACTATTGTGACTTTGCCAGTGTCAGATTTGAGGAGAAGAGGCATGCAGGTTCTGATTCCTGACACTTGAGGTATTCAGTATTTGCTTGTAGGTGGATTCCTGACTCTCTTTGTAGCTAATCCCAAATGGGAAAGATTGAATGTGAAGCTATTGATCCTCTCACATGGGCGTGTCCTTTCTGATGAGGATAAAGTTTTTGCAGAACAATGAGGAACCTGTACTGAGGGTTTCATATTTTATATTAAGATACAGTTTTGTCTCCAGGCATGTAACGCACCACTGCAGTACTTTTAATCTCCTTGAATGTCTTAGCTCTTAGATAAAATAACAAATTTCAGTTATAGTCAATATACAGTATGGTGGTTAAGTTTCAAAACATATGAAATCACCTGCAAGTTTACTTGTATTAAACAGGGGGATTACTGGCATAGCAGTCGCCTGCAATGGGTCTTCTGTTTTCACTACATCCCAGGGTAAGTATTACTGCAAAGTTATTTACTAGAACCTGCAGTGTCAATGCAGGTTGTAAGACCAAATAATGTTTTGTGAACAAAATAGCATGAAACACTGAAATGTAGTTAAGACTGAATCGCATTAATAGCTTCATGGAGAGCAAAATGAAGACAACATTAAATGGGATATTTCTGGAGTCACCGAGTTCTGTTTTTTACAGTCGTGAAAGGAGTGGCCCTAATCTTTTGCCAAATGCAAGATTCTTGTTTTCACTTCATGCTCAATTCCCTCTTACTGTTTGAGGGAATTTCAGAATTCATATGCGAAGGGTACATCTGCTTGGCTTTTGGATTGTCACCTTTGCAAGTTGCCTATTACAGAAATTAAGTTAAATATGTATTTCCTGTAATTAAATAGCTTAAGTACATGAATTGGTTAAGTTTTAGATCATTCTGACTCAAGGATTTCGATATTTTCTATATTTAGGCTTGGGAAAGTGGTAGTTTCTTCCTTTAGGTACCAGAGTTCTCTTAGCATTTGATGAGCATGGGGGGGGGGGGGGGTGTCATCCATTTGTAAGTGGTGCAAAACATGCTAGTTCCAGGTTCAAGTCACAAGCTTTGTAAAGAGTTCCTCAAAGACTGTGAGCAACCTATACCTGCTTTTCATAGCAAGATATTTGAACATTCAAACAGGAGCAAATTTGCTATCTTCTAGAATAGAAAACAGTCCTCTTATCTTCTGTTTTGTCCATTATCCCCAGATTCAACTTTGAAGATGTTTTCCAAAGAATCAAAAACAACCCAGAGAAGTGTGTCCTTTTCAAACATGGTAAGTTGTTGCCAAAATAAAAATGAGATCGTTTGGAATCTTCTGAAAGCTACTCACAGAAATGACTCTTACCATACATCAGCGCCTCTTTTCTTCTCCTGCCTACTCACGTGTATTGTGTGTGAATAATTTAGCAGAGTGAACTGAGACTCTTGTCAGGCCTCCAGGGAGACAGAGCACATTCGGCGAACGTGGGAGGGGGATCATTAAGTGGTTGCACTTTCCTTCTGTGTTAGCTCTGTCCTGAGTTGCCCTGCTGTCCAGGGAAGGGCTTGTATACAAAGATGGGCTGGCGTGGGTAGAGTCTTCATGGACAGCCCTGAACTGCCATTGGGACCGGAATCTCAAAGTTTAAATTCCACCCGTGTGCTCCCATCCGGCGTTGCCCTACAGCTCCCAGGGGTTTGGGAGCTGACTCACAAGGCTGTGAGTCAACCAGCAGAGGAGAACCAAGCACAGAGAGTGGAATCAGTGCAGGCTGAATTTGAGCCATCCTTCCTCGATGAGCAGTGATCTCGGCAACCTCGGAACAATGTTTTTCCCCTGCTTCTGAAACAGAACTTGGAAAGAGATTCTATATTTGAATTTCTGTGCTTGAGCACTGTGGTCACACCTGGGTTATATTCAGTCCCAATTGTCATGCTCCGAGTCCTTTCCTGAGGCAAGGCACTAGGATATATCCGCCTTCTCTGTACCCTCATCCCTAGGGGGAACAGAAAAGGCAAATGGGTTGCCCAGACAGAAGCCATAGCATGCTCCAACAAGTCCTCAAGTAAGCTGCAGGATCAAGACCTTACGGCTTGCCACGGCACATGCTACCACGTGGATCTAGACACAGCAATTCCTAATGCTTTAGCCAGGGCAAACTTAGGAATGTTGCTTCTTGGCCCTGTAAAAAGGCAGCTCTTTGCTGACTCCTAGGCCAAAAATCAGGTTTTCATGAGGAGGCCTTGTATACTTTTTTTTTAATTATTATTCTCTTCTTTGTAGTTTTAGTGCTGATCTGTTGCAGCAATGCTAGAAGCAATACTCTATTTACAGTCCAGCAGCTTATTGTTTCTTGGAGCAGATCTAAAACCTGACCAGTAATGATACTAGTAGAGCTGCTTGACTGGGTTTGGGTTTTTTTTTTTTTTTTTAATTATTCTTTTTTTCCCCTCCTTGCTCTATCCAGTGATGGTAATGTAACTGAGCAGCTGTCTGCAAACCATGCTTACTGTTGAGAATAGTAGAAATTAGATAGTTACATTATTTGTGTGAAACAGCTGAGCTGATAAGTAGCTCTAGAAAACAAACATCAAAGGAAACCTTCGTTTTTAGTTGCTGTTAGCTGTTTGCATCTAGAATTGACAGTAGCTTACAAGATGAAGAGCTGACCCAGTTTCTCCTGAGTGAGGAATTACATACCAGGTCCCTGAAATACTAGCTTTTCCGAACTTCAGTGCTACCTTTATATTTACGAGGGCTTAAGTATTCTTGCTGTTCAGTGTCCAACCTATGAGATTTTTCTTGATCAGTGTTCGTGCAACACCTGTATATTGGGTGTATAGAAGATTAAAGTGTTTCTTGTTCTCCAAAAGCTTGTTAATGTACTTACATTCCATTTGGGGTAAGAAATTGAACACTACTTTTTCTTTTTCTAACAGGCTTTGTCATCTTGTCTAATCTTACCAGGAGATACCACTGTCATAAGTTCTTCGTGGGACAATCATATGTGTGTATTTGCTTCTTACTGACTTAATTGAATTACATTGAGTGTCTTGGTCGTTATGTTTATGGTTTTAGATAGTGATGCAGAAATGAATGGTTAAAACACAGTATCTATATTCCTACCTTTTTTTTTGGTAGAGTTCTGTTAGAAACTGTAGAAGCAAAGTTATCTTTATCTATTTAGAAAAAAATGTTTAAGTTTTCTGAAGATGTGGTGCCTCTGTAATCCTTTCCTGTTAGATATTTTTATTCAATTGCGTTTGGAAGACGGCAAGACATCTTAATGGGACATGATGATGCAGTCAGTAAGATCTGTTGGCGTGATGGGCGTTTATATTCTGCGTCCTGGGACTCCACTGTGAAGGTTTGTATATGGATTTATTATACTTCAGTAACTATTTATAGCTTGCACTTTGTAATATTCAGCCAGCCAAATGCTTTGGAGTGGGTATACCTGTTGTACTAGAATAATAATTTCGCTAGTATCACAGTAAGTTCATTTCTAGAATACCTTCTTCATTTAGCTTTATCTCAACTGTTTCAAGGCTAAAGTGTTACTTTAAAGAAATTTCATTCATTCTAACTTATTCTAAACGTGGGGATTTTGGAGTCAGACTATTTGTTGGAGGAACTGGAATGTTCTGTGACCTTGACTGGTGATTCTGTTTGAGTGGAATAGGCTTCTACATGTTTAATAGTTTTGTAGCTTACGTTCTTCAGCTAAGTGGACCAGGAACTTGCTAATCTAAAGAGCATGCCTGCAGTTAGGTGAAAAGGTAATTTGGAAGTGAGGGACAGGAAAGACTTTCCCGAAGCCTTCTGTGGATGGCTTTTGGGTAAGTATGCATTCAGGGCGGTGATACACCTGCACTTAGGTAGGCTTCTGTAAGCTGTCTGCAGTCAGCATAGCTGGGTTTGTGGCTCTGCCTAGGGTCAACAAGTCCAGGTGCCCCTTGCTGTTGCGGTATCCTGCCACTTAGGCAAGGCTGCTCGTTAGCACAATCAGCCTTCCTTGTAATGGGAGACTTCGGTGCTGGCGACACTCAGCCAGGGTTATACTAATGCTCCCTTAAATATCTGTGCAAACTTAAATATCTGTGTTGTAGGTGTGGCACTGTGTCCCTGGAGAGACCCGGAGCAATAAAAAACACCACTTTGAACTGCTTGCAGAGTTAGAACACGATGTTAGTGTAAGTATGTGGGTATATAGCATCTCAGAATATGAAAATTAATTGCTCATTAAAATAGAAGTCAGGATCTAGTGGTGAAGCACCAGGGTTGGGCTAAGGGGCTGAGGGAGCATGTTGTTTTGCAAAGTGTACCTGTAGAGTTTGGTTTGGGTTTTTTTTGTTTTTTTTTTTTTTGTTTTGTTTTGTTTTGTTTTTTGTTTTTTTGTTTGTTTGTTTGTTTGTTTGTTTTCCCCCCGTGTCCTGCACCAGTGTCCCCTGCTTTGCTGGTGGAATGGTCCGCTCCTGGGGACTGAAGCAATAGTGTAGACAGAGGTTTCTTAATTTGTCTTGCTCAGCTTGTCTGCACAAAGTTCCAGAGGGACAGTGAGGACTGGGGTTTTTTGTTTGTTTCTTTGCTTTTGAAAACAGACTAATATTTTTCAGGTAGTTTCATTGTTACAGCTTCTTCTTAATGCATCTTTGCCAAAGGCAAGCAAATGAAAAATAATTCTTCTGAGTTGTTTATCACGCTGTAAAATGCATTAGTGAATTTCACTGTAAATATATAAACACATTGCGTGCAGTGGATCATAAATGTGTAACTGCAGACTTTTATTTATAGCCTCTAATGTCACTCTAGTAGGATATTTAGAATTATCGTGTGTAAAACCTTCTTAACAATTAGTTTGTTAACAGATCACAACATAGGCAAATACTGAACCAGTTCTGATAACGTTTAAGAACTGTACCCAAGAGAATTGGAAACAACTGATAGCTAGGGAGTTCTTTAAAAGTAAAGAAGAGTTTTACCCTTAAGGGTCAAGTCTTGCGTTTAGATGGAGAGCGTGGGTACTAGAAGTGCTCTGAAATGTCAATCTGGGTTTCTGCTTCTGCAAAGAAAAAACATTTTAAAATATCATCAAAGGGACCTATCTTTTACTTTCTATAGGCAGTATTTTTAATAATTGTACTTAAGTAAGGATGTTGCAGAATTACATGTAAAAGCTTTTTGTAAATAATATCATCTTATGGACAATAGGCTTGCTTTGTGTATGCTCAAGACCTGTCTCAAGATGGCTTTTACATGAAAGAGGAGGAAACTCATGGGCTGTTTAACTCCCTAGGTAAATACAATCGACCTTAACGCTGCAAATACTATGCTAGCATCTGGAACCAAAGAGGGCACCATCACTGTTTGGGATGTTACTACAGCGGCAGCGCTGCACCAGTTGCCGTGTCATTCTGGGACTGTGTTTGATGCTGCTTTTAGTCCTGGTACGTTGGATTTCAGTTTTCAACATGCACCGTTGGGAGTTTCAAAGGGAATCTTATTCTTGATGTCATGTAACATACCCCTGTTACTGGATATTACTACTTTCATGGGGATGGTGAGGTGTTTTGGATTGACAGGCACCTACATCATAAAGAGTGTGTTAATTGTACACAAGGCCATACTAGACTGTAGACCAGCGATCTAGACTCTGAACCAGTTTTGTGTATCATTGCTTGCTTAGAGACTTAGTTTACAGTAAATTATCTGTAAATATAATAAAAATTATCTGATCAGGCAGTGTCACATCCGACATGCTGTATCGCGGACTGCTTTGGTAACTAGAACCAAATGTCTAAACATGCTTTTTTTGGTCGCCCTTTCTTTTGTTTGCTTTTTTCTTTTGTACAGACAGCAGACATCTACTCAGCACAGGAGAGGACTGTTGTTTTAAAGTAACAGATGTACAAACTGGAATGCTTATATCTTCTATAACTGCTGATGAGCCACAGAGGTAACCGAGAACATACAGATTATGAAGCGTTGTGGCCAGCTTAGTTAACTGTGGAGATTCTTGATGGTTGGTGATAGCAGAATGGAAAGGGAAATAATACCAGCAACTTTGGTTTATTGAATTACTTTTTGACTTGCAAAGGCTGACATTCGAGCACGCTGTGTCCGTTATGATCAAACCTTCCAAACTGGGACAAAACCAAACAAGTATCGAAGTAAATAACTCCTGGGTTTTTTTTCAACACCAGCTTTAGTGTCCATAAAAGATGATGAGATCTGTAGCTAACCAGCTCTTCCAGCAGCTGAGCTCCTGAAACGTCTAACAAGGAGACAGTTCTCTTACCTGAATCATCACTGTCAATAATCTTGATTTTTTTTGTTGTTGTTTTTTTGGGTTTTTTTGTTTCAATAATCTAAGAAAAGATAGGCTATTATATTTAAAGAGTGATCACTTTTTTTTCCCAAACCAGAATGCATACAGTTCTTCATGGTTTATCAGGTAAACGGATGGAATGCTTACTCAGTTACTGGAGTGAAAATATAGCAGCCATACATGGAGTGCACTCGTTGGTTTCTTGTGTGCGTGTAGACATAAATATATGTGTATATATATTACCTTCTTCAGTTATTTCCCTGAAAGCCCTCTTTGCACTTCATGTTCCCGAAACAATCGCTTGAAGGGACAGAAGTGAAGGTGGTGGCACTCGGGTACATGTGCAGCTGACTGAGGCCTCTTCTGTTAAGGGAAGAGGTTTCATCCTTCTGGCTGGGTCTCTGCCAGTCAAAGAAGCCAGTTTGGGTCATGGCCCTTTAGGATAATTTGGGAATAACTTTTCCAGACAGACTATTAAAGGGTAGAGTTTCCTTCAGTTTCATACTTCCAGTTTCAGTTCTTTTGGGCCTAGTTTGGAAATGTGTTTGGTGCTCATTATGCAAAAGCTTGAAGTGAACTGATTTCAGACTGACTTGCAGGTGCTTCAAATGGGATGGAAATACCATCTTATCAGGAAGTCAGTCTGGTGAATTACTGATTTGGGACCTTCTTGGAGGAAAAGTTATTGAAAGAATCAAAGGACATACAGGTATGCCTGGACTATTCCTATTTTCATATTGAATGGAAGATTCCTATTTTCCAGTTCTGTTAGAATTGAAAAGTTTGAGGGTCATCTGTGCAGTCAGTGAGCTGTTCTGCCTGTTCGTGTTACCTGGAACACCACAACTGAAAGTAGGTCCACGGGAGCCTCCTAGGCAATTTAATAACAGTGGAGGAACGTTGCTGTTCACCAGACTGACCGAAGGTAAATGACTTGGGATTTTTCTAATTCACCCAACATCACAGAAGTCAACGTTGTTCTACCTCACAGACCTAATGAAGCGTAGTATAGGCTGCATGGTATACTTTGTCAGAGTCCATCCGGGCGGTGAGTCCAACAAACTAAGTAAGGTTCACTGGAGAACTTATTTTGGGTGGGGATTTATAGACTTCTTAAGTCTAGCTGTATATTCCTTAGTACATTAGCAACCAGGATGTGTGAAGGAGAAACTATCTCAGTTTGATTTTTGAGGCTGCCTTCACGAACAGTTATTTAAACCTATAAGCTAGTACTCTGGAAGCTGAGCTGTACAGAGATCGTTCTGTAGCTCGGGCTTCTAGGCCCATGCTAGATGTGAATACGCTTTTAATGCAAATCCAGATGGCAGAGTGAAAAATCTTACTTTCTAGAGAAACCTCCACCCCTTAGCCCCGTGAATTCTTTTCCCGGAGTATCATCTGCGTTCTACACTGCCACTGACATTGTCCCTCCAGTACCCTCCAGCTGGCTGATGCAATATAGCAGTAACAGTCGTCACTGGGACTAAGAGCAGCCACCTGGAAGCGTGCTAAAATTCTTCGTAGCTTATGTGGTGTCAGCATAATCTAAACTAATGCTCAGATGATCTTAAACTTTCAAAAAGATCTGTTTCGTCATCTTGAGTACCACTTTTATTTGCATTTGGATTTACTTGTTTTGTGTCTTTGGGGGGTTTTTTGTTTTTTGGTTTGTTTTTTTTCCCCAGGTGCTGTAATGGCCATGTGGATGAGCGAACAGTGCAACAGTGTCATTACAGGAGGGGAAGACAAACAAATCATGTTCTGGAAACTGCAATACTAAGTGCCTTTCCCTCTAACGTTTAAATGAACTCTTATTTTAAACCAAACCTTTTAAAGGAATTTAACTGTGTGCAATGATGGCTGCTGAAGTTCAACCAGACAGGAAGCTTTGTTCAACTACAACTTTCTAGGTTATGGTGACTTCACTGAGAGCTCTTAACTTCCATAATGTATGCATTTGTTTTTCATGGACTATCATACGGAAAATGCTTGTCTAAAATGATATCTGAGATGAAATTAAAGACCTATTTTTCTGTAATTAAAGAACTCTTAACTTGCACTCATTGTTTGGTTTACGTAGAATGCATCATAGCTTGCTGTTTGAACTGGTTTAAAAGCAGCAGCATTTGCATTCTTAGGTCTTAGAGGATGCTCAGAGCTTCATGCCACGTCTCATGGCATAACGTACGTGCCCTCTTGCATAGTCAACTTTTCTTGCCAGTGAAGAGGCTCAGGCTGGACACCACCGCCCTGTGCGCCAAGGCAGCTGTTGTTCTGCGCAGGGGCCAGTCCCCAACCGGGGCGTTTTGCAAAGGCACAGAGAATAACAACAGATTCTGTGCTGCTCTTTCCTATTGAAAAGCGGCACTAATGTGTCAGCCTGAAAGGAAGCCAAACATAAAACTGATCCCCTAACAGAGAAGTTACACAGACGAGTAATGGATTGATTGATATCAATCTTCCCCTGACGCTGTGCCTGAAGTTAATCTTGTGCTCTTTCTGCCTTTCATCACTTCTGTTACTATCCTCCTACTAATCTGCAGCATTTTCCTGTTTTGTTTGGGGTTCTCAACCCCTTTGAACTCAAATTGTCTTGGAGATGTAATTTAAATACAGCATTTCAACGGAGCTACAGCTCCTGGGTTTAGCCAACCCCTTGCCTTAACCCAGTGACAAAGCAGCGTTGCTTTCTCTGGGGGACCCAAGGCTGTGATCCCCTGCAAGGAGCTGTTCTGAAGTTTAAAGACTTGACAGAAGCCAGTGAAAGACCATTACAGCAGCAGCCATCTGCAGTTGTGCTCCTGCCCTAGCGTGACTCAAGAGCCATAGTTATTTCTTTGGCATTCTCTAGTGCTGCTATGAAGATGCCCTGTCACCGTGCCCAGGCCAAGCATTCTTCTAAAATACGTTCAGTCACTCCTCTGTAGCCGTCCTGCCTTGGGTTTGACACCTTACACTTGTTTTCTTTAGCAGAGTCCAACAATTTTTTTATGGTGAGGGGGTTTTTTCATTCCCTCATTTTTTTTTTTTTTTATTATGCTGGAGCTTGAACTTCTTTTTCAGTAAGGCAAGGGCAAAATGTTAAAGCAAAGTCACTTTCCAGCTTCATTACTCGCTTGGCTTAGCAAAGAGCTGAATTTTGATGTAATCCATGACTGTGTGGTGAAGGCACGTGAGACAAGACTAAGCCACAGCATGCATTCCCAACTTTAATCTTGCAGCACAATGTTTGGCGTCTGCCTTGTTTCTTCACCTGTCATTATATTTATTTCCCAAATACAGAAAATAATTCTACACGTACCTGCAAATGTCTTAAGTGATTTCTGGATTGCGTTAAAATCTTTCTCTGTGTTGTTTTCAGTATGCCTATCGTTGCTTGTTTACCCATACTGAATTTTTAGGTCTTCTGTATTACAGTACCAGCCTGAGTTTAAAAGCTGCACTGTGACTTATTTTACCTTTTAGCACATCCTGGTCTTGTATTGTTTCTGCTAACGTGCAATTTTGCAACTCAAGTTTGACTCCACTGTGCTCAAAAAAAATCACAAAGTACCTGAGCAATAGCAAACGCCACTTTCACTTGATGCTGTCTGTCTCGCCCAGATTTTGGGCACAGCTCTGCTCCTTTGTCTCTAGGGGTCCTCCTCCTCCTGATCTAAACCAGAGGAAAATGACTGAAGTTTGGGAACCCTCAATTTTGACTGAAGGGTATTTTCTTTGTGAGGTAGTTTAACTTTCTCTGGGCTAAATACAGATGCATACAACACCCTGCTCTTACCTGAGGCTTGCTTTCTGCTGTAAAGCCATGTGCAGAAAACAAAGAGCTGCTGCCTTGCCTGAAGCAGCCTCAGCTTTGAGGGCAGCGGGGAAATAAAATCAAGGTAACCCTCTTACTAGGTTGTATCATCAGTATGTCGTTTTGGTGTTTCTTCTTCAGTCAGATTTGTACACATACAGACCAGTATTTTCTTAAAGCTTAACGTAAAGTTTATCTCCATACATTCATTTAAGCGTAGCTGACTAAATGCAAGCTTGTTTCTGCATGAGAATAGGAGGGGTTTAGATTAATTCTTTCAAGTCTCTGGTTGCTACATGCTACACCTGGAAGGAAAACACTAAGCACTTGTACTGAAGTCCCACCTCTCCATTTCCAAGAGCTTGCTCCTCTAGTTACAGCTGTTAAACAACAACAGTGTGGTTTATCCTCTGTGGCTATCTTCTGCCAACCTGGTTCTGTCTGTTTTTTAAAAAGAACTTTTAGCCAGACTTCTACTTAGGAGCAAGTCAGGAGGTTTAAGTGGCCACACCACATTGGTCAAGCCGTAACAATGCCTGCTTAAGTAAGTAGTTTGAAAGCTTCAGCAGGTAGAGAACTGGCCCCTGCTGAATAACCTGCTCCTAAGCAAAACTAGTGAGTGGCAGAGATCAGCATTTCAAGAATACCTTGGTTTGGGCTCCAGGGGTCTCGCAGCTAAGCTGACTAGCTTGCCAAGGAACTCGGAGCTGACTGCTGCAGGGCACGGGTCCTGTGCCCATAAGCCTGAATCATGCCAGTGCTCCACGAAGTCCCCAGTTACTGCCCGTAAGTGCCTGCCAGAGTGGTTCCAGAGACGTATCATTTAGTAACCAAACAACCCAATTAAAACATCTCCCAGGATTAATTTGATCACCGCTACAGCCCAAACTAGTGGACTGGTTTTCCCTCAGTTACCATAACCGAGCTACTCCTTTGGGAACCAGGATGCTACAAGCCAGGCTCTGGGACCGGCGCGGCTGAGCGCAGGCTGCTAAATTTAACAGCGCTCCCAGGAAGAAAAGCAGGGCTGCAGTTCAGACCCACAACCCCAGTTCCCAACCCTGCCCCCATCACTATTTTTCCTAGAAGATGGAAAAGCGACCACGCGCTCCACGTGCTAATAAGGGCCTGGCCCCTGAGAGTATTGCAGGGTGCCAAGCTATGAACGGTGTGCTTTTCTTTTTGGGGTGAGCTCCTGCAGTTATCTTTTGAGGTATTATTTCATTTGAATTGACAAGCAGGTAAATAATTAAGATTACCACCATCCCCCGACTAATTCTGGATGCAAGTTAGTTCTAAAAGAATAGCTAAACTGATCCTCCACACCCATTTTACAACAAATAATACCTATACTAAAGCTGTTCATAGCTGAAACCTGCAACAGAGCATTAAAAAAAAAATGAAATCACTTACCAAAACTGGTATTTAACTTCAGATCACTTGATAGTCTCAACCGAGCATGCCTAGGACCTAGTGTGGTGGGTTGACCCCAAGCAGCAGCTGCACATTTCCCCCTCTCCCCCCAGGTTTCTCACCCATCCTGCTGTGGGGTGGGTCAGTAAGAGAATTGGAAGGGAAAAAGCTAGGAAAATTTGTGGGTTGCAATAAAGATAATTTACTAAGTGAAGGGAAAAAAAAAAAAAAAAAAAGCACGATGCAAAGGCAATCCCTCACCACCTCCCACCAGCAGACTGATGCCCAGCCAGTCTCCAAGCAACAACCACTTTGGAAAGACTCCTGGTAAATTATTGCTTGGCATGATGTCAAATGGTACAGAATTTTTCTTTGGTCAATTTGGGTCAGCAGAGCCAGCGAGGTTCCCTCTCAGCCTCTTGGCCACCCCCAGCCCGTTCCCTTGGAGCAGGGGACAGGGCAAGAAGCAGGAAAGGCCTTGGCACTGTGCCAGCACTGCTCAGCAACAGCCAAAAGGTGGGTGTGTCATCAAGTTGCAGCCACACCCCCCTGGCAAACACAGCACCCTGTTAGCAAGAAAGTTAACTCCATCCCAGCCAGAGCCTGCACACCCAGCAAGCCACAAACGCCTTTAAAATTAAATTACAGCTATACAAATTGTATGTCTCGTAGAGCAACCAGGCTGCTATTCAAGCTGAAAGGCTGAGAAAAAATAAAGTTCAGCATATTTTGTCTTAAGTATCCCAGTCCTACCCTTTTAAAAAACGTCAGCACTGTACACGGGAAGTTTATTTAGAAAAATATTTTCAACTATTTCCTATCTTGTCTTTGTTGTTGGTGGAGACGGACTTCAACAAAATAAGTGTGTCTGCTCACCTTAAGTATGCACACACAGAGTCTCTTAAGTTTCAGTCATTTATTTGGTGATTTCCAAATCCTTACGAACATGGTTAAGGCGAGAGAGAAGCATATTAGTTACAGTTTGTATAACAAGTAATAAAAAGATTTGAGTATCTGTACACTACTTTTATTTAAGACGCTTACTTACTGAATGATGCCTTCAGCTATATTCAAGCTTAGCTGGCATTCTTGTGTAAACAGTATTTACTAGAACAAGAAGTTAACTAGTACTAGCCATACATCTAATCTGCTATTTCAAATCTACTCTTGCAAGCAGAAAAGCGGTAAAAATACTCATTTGTCTTAAGACATACAAAGCACCGTGTTGTCCTAGGTAACGACACGTAACTTTGCAAGTGATATCTGGTTCCTTTAGTTGCAATGGCTTATAGTAGTAGGAAACTAAAGACCTACGAGAAGAAGTCATAACACAACTGGAATTTCACATTTGTCAAGCATATAAGGCTACAAGTTTTACAGTTTGTGAAGAAACAAGATATGTTGAACTGTAACATTCCCAGCCATTATAGATGCAAATGCTTGATGCAGCATATCTTCTCTTAGCCTCCGGAAAGGCTCATGTGCAGAAGAAAGAAATCACTGAGTGTAATAGCGGAATCATCATTATCGATATGTACACACATACACGATGCAAGTCTAGACTTCGGGAACAGAGTGGTCCATCAGGCTTTTCATAATGCTAGTTGCCATCCTAAAGAGAAGGAAAAGGAGTTCAGTTTTGTAAGACAGACAACTGTAGGAGACCACTAAAATCTTCTGATCGCTGCATCTCTGTCACGGCTAGCCCTTGAATGCAGTTGAGAAGTTGGCCTTTCACTCAGCAAATACACTGCTGCAGGAAGCTGCCCCAGCCTGCACGCACAGAAGAGGAGCCCACAACGCTCAGTGTTTTTATCAGGAACTGAGCTGTGTTACCAGCACCTTTCCGG